TCTGCGGCCTGGCTGTGCGCTCGGCCCTGTGCTGTCGCCTGTGAGAAGCTCCAGAAGCACCATGAGCCGCTCGGAGCTGCAGCACCAGCCCATCGCTTTCCACTGATCCCCCAGGGGCCCCGTGGCCTGCTCTGTGCTCACACTGTCCCGAGGGCCTCCGTTAAATCCTCTCTCCCGCTTCCGGAGAACATGGCCAGACAAACAAACGTGTTCTAGCTCCTGAGAGAACACGAGTTTATGAAATAGCCTTTTGGAAAACACCCTGCAGTTCCCACTGACTTGACATATTTCCTCCATCAAAGCCGTGGTTCTGTCCAACGGTAGAGTCGTCAGCAGACGCGGGCCCTGGGCGGGTGTCTGCGAGGGTGAAACATGCCCTCACCCCGCTGGTGGTGCCGTCCACTCACGTTTCCCGTCTGTGTCTGGCCTGAGAGATGAGTGGAGTCAGGTGATTCCGAGTTGCTGTAGAGCCACCAGCTCTGTGCGGCCAGGCAGGAAAGCGTGTCTCCTCTGTCCGCTCTCAGGTGCCCCGTGCCCGGGTGTGACGGCCAGGGCCACATCACCGGGAAGTACGCCTCCCACCGCAGCGCCTCCGGCTGCCCCCTGGCGGCCAAGAGGCAAAAGGACGGGTACCTCAATGGCTCCCAGTTCTCCTGGAAGTCGGTCAAGACGGAGGGCATGTCCTGTCCCACACCCGGCTGCGATGGCTCCGGGCACGTCAGCGGCAGCTTCCTCACACACCGCAGGTGAGTGCCCCTGGCCGCCTTCCTGGAGGTTGCGAGGGCTCAGGCACGACAGGTGTAAGAGCGCACAGCTCAGTTCTCCCCTGTGCTGAGGACCCGAGGTGGGAAGGAAGGAGACCGGCTCCTGGAAAAGCGCCCGCGTCCCAGCACAGCCACACTGGGGAGCGGTGTCCAGGGGTCGGGCCAGGGGCCGCAGGAAGAAACACGAGTCTCTGCAGCCGCAGTTACTCATGGGCCCCCGGGGATCAAGGCTGGTCTTGGGCACAGGGCCTCACCTTGAATGCCTGAACCAAAGATAGAGCAGGAAGTTTCCAGAAGAGCCATCGACCCTTCGTTTTAATTTGCTTCGTGCAAGAGGAACTATATGCAGTCAGGTGGCCTTGGAAGAAGAGGCCTGTTCTGTTCAATCAAGTGGCCGAGCGGGCTCATTGCAGGAGGTCAGAGGTCAGTGCGGCCCTGGGCTTCATGTCCTGGCTTCACAGAAACCAGGCTGCGAGGTGGTGAGGAGGAACTGAGGCTCCTGCTGGCCCTGCAGACCCCAGGCTGGGGCGGGGGGTTCCAGGCTGTTCCCTTCCCTGCTCTGTCATGCTGGGTGCACGCCCTGAGCACCGCGCGCCAGGCTCCACCTGCAGAGCCACACCCGGCACGGAGTGCACAAGAGCTGAGTGCAGCCACAGGAAGGGGTGTGTTCAGGGATATGCAGCAATGAGCTTCATGTTCTTTAAAGATTTTTAAAAATTAAGACAGTAATTCTTAATTACTCAGTTGAAATGGTACCATCGGGGTACATGGGCCCAAGGGGAGGAGGAGACTTCTGCTCCCTGACCTCATCTCAGCTCCTGTCCAGGCGCAGCTCACCTCTGAGGCAGGCAGCCGGTCTCCTCCCAGAAAGTGCCCTGGGGCAGAGGCTGCCCTGGACCTACAGCCTCCAGGTGCACACACCTCCCACCATAGCCCCGCCCACCCTTTCCCTCCTGCAAACAGGTCAGTGTATCAGATGTCTGCTCAGGGCAGGCCCGGCAGGTGGTGGGCATCTCCTGGGATGGATGACCCACCCACTGGGAGCTCCGCTGCCTCCTCCTCCCCCCTGAGGGCTGGGTGCCTGCTAACTGCCAGCCTCCTTTCTAGATGTGGGTGGTACCAGGACAGGCCTCCTACCACAGACACTGCAGGGGCTCCTGCAAACACACCCTAGACACAGTCCTAGAACCAAAATGCTAGTTTACAATGTGACCAGTGGTCGCCAATGCTCTCCTTCAAGTCGTCGGCTGGGAGTTAACTGAGGCTGTACAGTGGGCTTGTCCATGGCCCATGGCCTCCCGCTCACTGCTACGCCTGTAGGGCCCAGCCCAGGGCTTTGGCGGGCAAGTGTTCAAGGAGCCGTCATTAACGAGACCTACATATGTCACGACCTGCTCTCCGGGGAGGGGAAGCCCCGTGGGCTGCTCACCCAGCCGCCCCTCCAGGTGGAAGGCCCAGGAGCCTCGGGCCTCAGCGACGTTTGTCTGCAGTGAGCAGGAGGGTGGGCCTTTGCTCCCTCTCGGAGCGACCGTCGTGGCCTCTTCCACCAGGACCACAGGTCCAGGCAGAGGACACCAGTGGGGATTCTGGGTCCAAGCCGTTCCCCCTGAGACCCTGACGACGAGTCCTCAGAGCCCCTCCCCGAGCCCGGCCTGCGGCCCATCGTCCGGAGAGCCGGGAGGGATTTGAATCCACTGCCCTTGGAGGGTGGCTTCCCGCTGGGTCCGTCGGATGCACCTGGGAGCGAGTTCCTGGCACTGCCCTGTGCTGACCGCTGACCGCTGACCACTGCCCTGAACCAGCTCAGACGCGCTCGCTCTTTGATCAGCGAGTTAGTGTCTGACCGTGAGCACTTGGGAGGGAGGAGCTCAGATCCAGCAACTGTCAAACTGTGAATCCCACGGGGCTGGTGAGAGGGAAAGGCTGCAGGTCACAGCTGGGCTCCCTCCCCGCAGCCCTAGCCACCACCAACCCTCCCCCCGGGCGTCCCCGCCAGGCAAGCAGCCTCTGTGCTCCCCAGGAGGCTGCGTGCACCTGGGTGCGTGTCCTGGGAGCTGAGCACACGGGGCCTGTCTGGGGTGCTCACCCTCTCCCCACTTCCCTGGCGCTGAGCACGTGTCCCACCCCCACCCCCAGTGGCTCTCAGGCTATCCCCCAGGCCCAGGGCCAACTTGTTAGTGTGCTTGGTCCCGAGCACGTGTCCCACCCCCACCCCCAGTGGCTCTCAGGTGCTTCCTTCCTCCCACGGGCAGCCGCACACCCTTGACTTCTGCTCGCCAGCTGTTTGAGCTGTGACGTCTCCCGAGGGAAGGCCCTTCAGGGCAGTGTCCAGGGGAAGGCCCCGTGGTCCCTGCCTCTCCCCAGGCCCCTGGGTTCCGCCCTGGGGTGCCTGGTGCTGGCGCCAGAGTAGCCGCCTGGGCCAGGCGGGAGGCGCAGGACGGTTAATGTTGCTGCCCAGAACAGGACGGCCGGACCTGCGGTTCTGTGGCTTTGCAGGTCCACGCCCAGAGCGTCGGTCAGAGGTTTGCGTGGGGCCTCTGGGCCTCCATTTCAGAACTGCCTCCCTGAAACTCCCTGAAGCTCGCCTAGTGCCCAGGCAGAGACCAATGTGTGGCTTTTCCCCGAGCCGCCACCAGATGGCACTGCGCCCTCGCAGGGACCCGGGCCAGGAGGCCTGGGCAGGTGTTCCAGACCTACCTGCAGGCAGGCGTCACCCAGTCACCGCGGGCAGGCGGATGGGGCTGCCTGCAGCCTCTTTGCACCTCACCCGACTGAAAGCTAAGGGAAGCTCAGACCAGTGGGCCCTGAGCCTCAGCGAGGTTTGGGAGCCACTGAGCCCTTTGCTTCTTGCTTTGGCTTCTGTGCGCTCCTGTTTGCAATGCTCTCCCGGCCGGCGCCGCTTCGTAACTTAATCCTGGCCCCTGGGTCTCAGGCAGGAACTCGTGGAGGCACCCAGTGTGTGATGTGGATCTGCACTCACCGCTGAGCTCTCAGACCTGTTGGGTCCCTGAGGACAGAGGACAGGCCTCTGGGTAGGATGGAGAGACCACTAAGGATGCAAACGAGGCGGAGCCTGCGGCCCAGAGGCAGGGCTGCTGAGGTGGGGCCCTGGCCAGGGTCCTGCGGGCGCAGGGCAGACTGGCCCTGTGTAGTGACAGACTTGGGGAGAAGGGGGGCGCGTCCACTGGGAGGGCACACTCCCGGCTGCAGGCCGTGTGGCCCAGTGGGGACGGAGAGCAGGAGCTGGGCCTTGCAGAGGGACCCGTCTCAGAGGGCTGCTAGGACACAGCTGTGCTGGGAGAGGCGCCCCTCCAGGAGGGCGGCCTGTCAGGGAGTGTGGGGTTTGGGGGGGGCCTCGCGGTGGTGCAGGTGCTGAGGCCCAGGGCCCAGCGAGGACAAGCACAGGCACTGAGGGGCCGGAGGGGCGGAGGGGCAGCCTGAGGAGCAGGTCAGCTCAGGAAACACCCCTGAGACTGGCCACTGGACGGACAGCCCTCAGATGACTGGCCTGGCCCTCGGCGCCTCCTGCCCCATCTGCTCCTGGAATTCTCTGGGGGTTGCCCTCGGGCATGCAGAGGGCTGGGGCTGGGGCTGGGGCTGGGGCTGGGGCTG